GAATATCAGGAATGACATTTAATGGAGAATAACAATTAATCCCAGTTTCAGTCCAGTTTATCCCTAAATAAGACTAGTTTACAGGAATTGCCAAACTGTTTGCAAAGCAAACAAGTTCTAAATATGTCAAATTGGTCTCAAATTTACTGCGGGGTGGTGCTGTTCAACAACAATCTAAATCCAAAAAAACATAATATTTTATGCAAGATCTCAGTAGAGAATGGCAGTTTGTTATGTCCCCCCTCCCCCCCCCAAAAAAAAACCCCAAAAGAGCCAATTCAATCTTTTAGGAGGTTTTTTTGTGAAGAGCCACTGTTTTTCAGTGGCTCTTCAGTGCCACTGAAGAGCCAATTCCATCTTCAGTTTGATGCAAGAAAAAATGTTCCTCAAGAACAGAGAAATTCTTTTAAGAACAAAGTGGCAACAACAAATTCCTTCTGGCCAAGAAATTTTATACTTCACAAGAATGAAATTTTTTCTTTCTACCCCTAGTGTTTTTTAGTAGTCTGTTGCAGACAGAAAAAGCAAACACAAAGACTTAAAATGCTGTTGGAATTTGCTTTACTAACAATTGGGCATACTGCTTCAAATAAAACTTAATATTAGTATCAATCTGAAAATGCTCTGTCAGTGCATTTCTTTTATAAACCTAGACTGAAACTTGGAACTTATCAAGTTAGTTGCAATAGAAAAGTTGAAGTTTAGTATTTTCTGAGTATTACCGTCTCCCTTATGAATGCACTGTCTCCTTAATGTTGGAGCATGCAATTAAAAGGTAACTACAGCAATTTGACTACATGTTGGACACAGCGGTGGTGCAGGAGTAAAGCCTGACCCTTGTATGCAGGCCTTAGTCCTTGATGTGGCTCTCCTGGGTTTGAGTCCTGACCCAGTGACCTTTGCAGCATCTCTTCCCCCTCTCTCAGGATCTGCTTTCTGGTCAGTTCAATAAAGGCCATTAGACCCAGAGAGAAAAATAAAAAAAATCTGGATGCATATTTTTGCCCATTGGATATTCTGGTACATATGGGGTAAAAATAAACTTAAAGACAAGACATGAAAGTTCACAGTGTCTCAAAGTTGGAGGATGCTTCTTGGTACTACTACAAATCAAATGACCAAATTACCTGGTACAATCTATCATTTTGGAGTGCAAGATCACATGTTGAGAAAGAGTTTCATCACCATATCAGGTCAGTTCTCGTTCTAAGCCAGTGACAAATAATTTTTTTAGGTTGAACTGTTGAAGCATCAATTCTAGTGTTGGAAAACGAATGCAACATCAGCATATATGTGCCATACAAAGAACTTCTCACCTTTAGGCTTTGTTTAAATGAGGTTGCTGTCTTAAAACTGCCTGTATTTTTTTATGTAGCCATGTCACTGTCACTATGCGGACAACTTGTCAAGACACCTTGAATCCAAGATAGCTGTCATGCCAATGTAGTACATGATGCTGCAATTTCAGCATGTTGTCAAAGCATGCACACACCTTGAAAAGATGAAACAAGTGCTCATGTAACATATTTATATTCCATATCTGAAGATGTGTTATACTGAGAAGGTTAAGTTGCACACACAGTAACTATTATCTGCCTTTTTTACTTCAGTTTGGCATAACCACTACAAAAACAACTCGTCTGGGTTAATTAATTTAGTGCCTAATTATAAAAAATATTAAATTAAAGCACAGAAAATACATTATTGTACATTTTCTTTGGAGCTGGATTTGAACAGGAAATTATGTGTCAGGTTTGCACAGCAGGGAGGTCCTCCCTATGAGAATGTACCCCAGCAAATTCAGTGCATTGAGTCACTGAATTTGTAGTGAATCCAACTTTTGATGATACAAGTGGTGACAGTGAACAGAGTTTAAAAAAAAGAGATTACAGATTATACAGATGGTACTAAGACATGCTTGTGTAGAAGGTAGCATTTTTTAGGAAAACAAGAAACTGTGTGATCCATCTTATAGACCTGTACAGGGATTTAAAAGGCACAAACCAGCGAGGGGGTTAATAGACGGTGTGATTAAAATTATGTGATACCTTAGCTCTGCTTTTGACTATAGAAAATAAACTTAGACCCACACTGGTATAGATTCTCAGTCCAATACAAGACAGTGTTTGTGTAGAAAGTAGCATTGAAGATGTGCCATTAAGCACTTAGGACCACCTTTAAACACCAACCTTGAAACAGAACAGCTAATTTTGTCCTGAAGTAGTATGTGTCCTCTGCATACATGCCAGAGGACTAGATTTATATTTCAACACAAATTTCTAAAACCATATCAAAATCAATTTGAAGTCAAATGAATAACTGAATTCCTAAAAGAATTAACAGCAAGTAAATTCCTGAAGCAGGACTGTTTATTACTGTATTACTGAAGATGATTCTATATGATCCAAACAAAGCAAGGCATCTCCTCAGTCAGACTGAACAGGTATTTGATGAGGTTTGAGAACCATTTTGCTCTTAAAATAAATCACTTTTTATGCTGGAATAGTAGCAGGATTTCTTGTTGTGGCCAAATATGGCTTAGTTATACCAACACGTCATCCTGTGTAATTACGACAAAGACAGTCCATGGGGCTTCATGCATAAAATAGTTTTATTTATTTTATATTATTTTATTTTAGATTTAATAATTATATATTTTTATACCTTTTTAAGACTATAATTGGTGTTTAAATATTGTCAATATTATCTTTCAATAATGTATTTACTAAGTCATAGTTTCAAATTTCTTGTCAACTTGCAATATTTTTTAAAACACAAAACTTTCCCGGCTCATGGTGGACTGCCCCTCTCAGGGGAAGACCCTAAATTAACATCTCATAACAGAATTTGCATAATAGGAACATATAACACATAATATTAGCAGCTAGAGCAGCTGCAGTCAACCACTAGATATGTCTTGAGCTGGAGAGGTGTTAATGTTTAGTAGTCTGCTGAGTGTCTCTGAGCAGTCCATGACTGTGTGATGATTCAGGTGAATCTGTTAAACTGAACTTCTACATTGTTTCAGTTTAGGTTTTAGTCTATATGATTTTCTTAAGTTGTGAACTAATTCACAATATTGAAAATTATTACTAATTTTCATACAATGCTGCTCTTTATTAGAGCAGCATTGCCACAGGAAAAAACAGCCAGATAGGAGTGCTGTTCTAGTGCATCATCTGTTTGAAACATGAATCAAAGGTCTATTTACTGCCATCGGTCTTCTGCTGCTATATCTGAACAGTAATGCTGTGGAATCCAAAGCTCCACTAACTGAGGACAATTGGCTCCATACTTTTATTAAGATTATCCAATTATTTAGATTAGGTCAGTGTTCCTCAATTTGGGTCCTCATGCCCCCTGTTTTATATGTTTGTTTTTTTTTTATAATCACCCACAAATTCAAGCCAGGTGTGTGTCAGAAGGGAAACACTTGAAGCAGTGGTGTCCAAACTCAGTCCTCGAGGGCTGGTATCCTGCATGTTTTAGTTCCCTCCCTGGTTTAACACACCAGGGATCAAATGATGGCTCATTAGAAAGCCTCAGAAGAATATGTCAATACATGCTGAAAAGGTTGTTACTACTACCAGGGAGTGAACTGAAACATGCAGGATACCAGCCCTCGAGGACCAACTTTGGACACCACTGTTTTAAGTGTTTCTCTTCTGACACACCTGGCATGAATTTGTGGGTGATTAACAAGCCTATCCTTCACTTGATGTCTACAAGAGGTCATACAATCATTTGAATCAGCTGTTCTGGAACAGAAATACATAAATATTCAAGGCAGGGGGGGCTGAGGACTAGAACTGAGAAACACTGGATTAGGTTGACAACAAAATGCATCTAAAAACTGACAGCCTGTACTGAAAACAATGTTGGGGGTTAGTCTTCAGGGTGGTGCAGAAGAGAAAAAAACTCATGGAAATGATCTGTAAAATTAGATATAGTAAAGCAAGATACCGTGAAGTACAGGCTGTCAGTTTTTAGATGCATTTTGGTTATAGCATTCTGCTGTTCAAAAGCAGCCTCTGTTAAAATACTATAAGCTTTCTTCTGACTGCTGTTATATCGCAAGCTTAGCAAAAACACGTGACCACAAGAGACTAAATGTCATCTGGAACATTTATTTATTAAAAGCAGATATTATAAAAGGCATTCAAGAGGTGGTTTTTTACCTAAAATTTGTAAAACACATTTGGTATGTCAATTGTTTTATAATTTTATCCTGGGCTCCATATGGTGTTAAATGGCCAAACATTTTTATTTGTGGGTAACAAACCTGAGTCGGACAGAGAAAGAATTGTGATAATTTCACATGAACTTTCAATAAAGCAAGACTGGCTGGGATCAATAAAGTATTGAAATCACATTATCTGTGGCTCTGTTTTTGAAAAATAGAAGAAACCAAGAAACACTTAGAATAAGTGTTCACCAGATGCACATACTTATTTGTTTGGCACCGTTATTTAAGAGAGAAACATTAACCTGCATTAACTCCTGCTTGAATGCAGGTTGTTTCAAAAGAAAAATAAAAAATCTAAACAAATAACATAAATGGCGACGGTACTCTATAAACCTTCTACACCAGGCTAATCTTTAGATAAACTCGACTTGCAAACCATTACACCAAATTTCTAGAAAGAAAAGATCTGAATTCAGATCAGTTTGTTTCACTTGATCTGAGTGGAAGAAGAATTCGCAGCCGAAGGCTACATTTCTGTCGTGCTGTGCCTGGTTAAACACGCCCAACAATCTGAGAGCTGAGCTGAGCCGAGCTGCCTACACAATGAGAGTTAGGAGCTGAACTTGTGCTGCAGGTCATAAAAGGCGCAGTGAGAGAAGCTGGATGGGCGGTCTCAAACCTTCTTTGAAATACGGAACTTTCACACACTCACAGTTTCAGAACAGCCAAGACTGAAATACACACGAACATCTTGAGCAACATGCCACAGTAACAGCCTGAAAACGCAAACAGAATGTTCCACTAAAATACAGACCAAAACCTTTAGCAGAGTGCGTGTGTGTGTAAACTGGTGATGGTGGAGCGAGGGCTCGCGTCTATGTGGCGGGCGTGATTCGGAGCCGTTTCCTCATTGTGTAACCGAACCTGTGGATTTTAAAACGCGACATCTAAATGTTGTCTGAGAACACCTCAGGTGTGTCTGCTTTAGTTGGCTAAAGTTTTGCAGCTACAGCTTTCTGGTGACGTCAAAAACGTCTTGCACCAAGTCTGGAAACTTTTGAAGGTTAGAAACATTCCCTCTGACCTGAGCGCCTCACTGCTGTCCCGTCGACGGCTCTTCGAGCGATGAAGCGTCCGTAGAAGTCTTTTTCTAACAGTTTCCCAACAGAATAAAGTTTTAAACTAGGGGAAAGGCCCAAAGCGACTTTTTTTCTCCCCTCCCTATCCGCTCCGAACTGGGGTGCCGTTGCTGAAACTCCACCCTGCCTGTCTACGTACAGAGGGCGGTGTTTTTCCCTGGTCGGATTGTTCTACTCATGTTAGCTTATTAGTAAACCACTAATGAACAGCTATTCACTTGATAGAACGATGAGCTGTTGCATTGACCAACAGCAGGGTTGTCGTCCCGCAGGACTGCACTCTGACTGATGCTTATGATAATAGATAATACTTGTGACGTTCTCCCGACGACATTCGATCTTATACTAATTAGAAGAACTGATTAGATGTGGCGCGAGACAATTAACAGCGCGAGGACCAACGCACACAATGTGACATTAATCTCTGCTGATGTTTTGGTTTCCTCCCATCAGTGTAGAATAACACTGTCGATGCTGCTGCCCGTTATTCGCTTCCTGTTCCGTTGACTGTGCAGGAAGAAAGTGACAGCTAGTCTACTAACAAAAAATGTAATTCGTTGATCTTTTGACCTTTAAACTTTTATTAATATCTTCAAAGCCAAAGCAGCACAAACATTTTTTTGCTGCACAAATGTCTTCTTGTACAATGAAGATGTTTGTTGAGGTTGGTAGGAGTTCCAGTGTTCTGGAAGAGATCCTGCCTTATTTAAGGACCCAAATAAGGCAGGATGTCATGATACCTCTATAACAATCTGTTCCGGAGGTTGTTATAGAACCTCTAAAGCTGATTGTGCAAACATCATTGCTTCATAAATGAAAAAACAAAAAACAACAACAAAAAAACTCAACTTTATGAATGACAGTATTTATGATATTGTAATTGTCTTCATTCCAGTGTGTAAATAGATTTTCATTTTTCTTTTTATACATGATTGAAACTTATTTAGCTGCAAAGTGTGTTACTTGTTGGCATTTGCTGCATGGCAGCAGGAAGTGTGGGAATTCCAGCTGGTATAAACTCATTAGGAGAAGCTAATATCCTGCAGTAAACCCAAGCATGCAGAGTGCAGTGAAAATGTAACGTGAATATTCTCTTGAAATAAACAAACCATAGACACACATTACATCCTCATTTATTCCCACTCTACATGTGTATACAAGTCTCTTGTTTTAATGAATCTGGTGGAACATTAATACATTCATATCTACATGACATAAATAATCATATTTCGTGCTGTACAACCATCAACACTGGAAAGGGTCATGTGACCTTTGAGCCTGGCAGCAAGAGCACACCATAATGCAGAACACTATTGAAGCTGGTACAGCTCCACCAACTGACTTTACAGTTTAAAAGAATAGATCTGTACATTATTGAATGTAAATCTTTATATGTACAATTTGCACTTCCCAGGTGCTTATTGTAAGGCTTCTCTAAAAGAAAGTTACTATAGCATCAATTATCCAAGCTGCCATGAGCCAGAGCCACCACCTACTGCACCGTGTTCCAAGGTCGTCTCGACATCCGTTTGTTTTGTTAGCTCCAGCAGCTGACAGACAGAGCATCAACTGCTCAGTCCTGCTGTACCTCACCAACTCAAGAGCAGGAGTTGCTGATGCTCCTGCTCTTGTGCATCACCAACTAAAGTTTCCCTGTTTAGCAGTTGATCAATTATTGGAGCAAAAATGTGGTCAAACTAGTATATGATGCTGTGATACTTCTTCTGGTCCAGCAGAGGGAGCAGTCTGAGCTTCTTGTTGCACAGAGGTCTGTGACGCCTGGGGAGCATCAAATAGATTTTACATAAAACAAAGACTAAACTTTTAACATGTCAACACGCTGCTCTATTGGTCCATCACAGTAAAGTTAGCCACTTTACTAATCAGACACAGTAAATGAACTGAAAGGTTGTTGAAAACCTAGAGAGCCACTTGCTGTTGCTACATTGCTGCCAGCAGTGCAGCACTGTATTGCAGAGCATACCTCACAGACGATGCCAATGAGACTTTGAAACATTATGGTAAGACTTTGTGGAAACTTACAGCTCTAACATCCAATTAGAAAAATTATCAAGTTGGAAATAAAGATGCCAAGACCAATGACGTTCCTATACTGATCTTATTGGTGCTCCTTGTGTTTTTGGAAGAAATTCCAGCTGGTGACCATGCAAGGTCAACATTAACAACAGTATCACTGCCAAGCAGCATCACACTCAGGTGTTCAGGTGTCATGGCTGCCTTGCCAACAAGAGTTTAAATAAAAGCCAAGGGCTGATGAATGATGTCTTACATATTGGAGGGAGAGAGTGAGAGAGAGAAACCGCTTCCTGGTGTTTTGCTCCAAACGTCACCAGATGGAGGCCAGAATATTAGAAACAGCACAATTTTAACAGTAAAAGAACATCATGAATTCACAGAACACAGTGAATAAGATAAGCTGCATCACCTGCTGTGTTGCTAACCCAAACCCCAAGGCAATATTTTTCACTTCGCTCCCTTTGTTTTTTTACTCAGCTATAGCATAAATAATTTGGTTTATTTAATGGTGTAGACTGAGTGTTGGCAGCATGATATGTCTGTTCTTCTCCCAAATGAAACCATCAATTCTGCACCAATGCAGAACTAAGATACATTCGAAAATGGACTTTGAAAAACAGGAACCGCCAAAGAATAAAAATGTTGAAAAAACAAATAATAAAAAGAAATGTATGACTTTGAAAAGCAGGGCTTGGTGGTAGGTGGAAGGCAGGATTCCTGATGGTCCCCATCAGGACCTCCCGGCCCTCCTGGCCATCCAGCTGGGCCAAACTGTCTATTTCTCCAGTTCTACTCTGCCGGCCATGTGGAAGGGGACACAGACGCTGTCAGTTGCTGCTGGTGGCCCCGGCTGATGGTGCCACAGCTGTAGGTATGCGAGGCATTTTCTTGACTGGACTGGGGATGTGCTGGGGAGACAAAGCAGACCAGCAGCAGGGTCAGGACCTGCTCTTCCTCTTTCTGATCTTATTAATGTGTTTAACAAGAAACTGATAAACACTGACATATAGAATGGGTGATAGGGTCTCAATATTGGTATCAAACAAAGAGAACTTCTATGTAAGGTTTACAGGTTTACATAGAAGATGAACTGAAGAGATGATGGAAATACACTTCTGAAGACAATCTGCCAGACAGAAATGTTTGGCATTCTCTTGCTGACCGGGTCAATAAAAGAAGTCATGCCCACCCCACATTGGGTCCATTGTACCTGCTTTGACTAGATGTGGTCCTGGCTCTTGTAGCAGGAGTAACTACACCTGGTTCTGGAAAGATTCTGCTCATTGGGACAGTACCTCAGAGGCTGAGGCAGTGCGGACCAGCTCTGGCTCTGCCGGCAGCTCGTCATCCAGGGCTCTGCGGGCATACTCCCTGCGGTGTTTGTCATCCACTCGGGTCAGGTACCACGTCCCAGGGAAAAGATCCTCCACCGAGCTTCGAGGGATGTAGCTAGCTGGAGAAGTGAACAAGAAAAGAAGACCTCTATTCAGTTATTGCTTATTATAGGTTGCAAAGCTGCCTCAATCTAACGAGGATTTCTTCTTGGCACACAGGAAGCTCACTGGCCATAACTGAGCCATTTTTATATGCACCACAAATCTGAATGAACTTCCAGGAAACTGCAAAACAGCCAAAACACTGAGTTCTTTTAAATCTAGACTAAAATGAGTAGAATGGACAAAATTATATTTCCGTGTCAAAAAGCTGCTGGAGACAAATCCAACAAGATCTGCGGTGCTACAGCGAACAGGTGCAAAAACAACTTTCACTTACAACCTGTGAAACAACCTGTTCAGTCTGTTTCACAGCAGGGTGCCAAGCTACTATAGACAACCCAGTTTGTGGTGGTAAGATGATTAAAATAGCTACACTGTAATTTAAATAGCAAACCTGGTGACTGGCTTTGTGGCACAGCTCTAAAATCTAAATTATTCACAACCACTTTTTCTTTCTTTTTTTTTTTTAGCTTTTCTTTTTTTCTGTTCCATCCATAACACAACACGGCATTCACACAGGACTACGTTCACGCAAGTAGCAGCAAGTAAGGCAGGAAAATACCCAGGTGGTGAGTCTCCTCTCTCAGCTTCATGATTTCAGAAAAAGCTGCAGGTGACATTTTTCTCCTGGAGTTCAGTCTGACCCCGAGGTCGGTCAGGCTGGAGACAAGCTTGTCCAGTGCAGACCCTACCATGACACACACTCATCAGTTTCTGCTGTTGTGTGACACACACATAGGTCATATGAAGGTCACATGGAGGTGAGCCTGAACTCACCAGGGGTATGATCCTGAGTGACCCTGAGAGAATACAAGGTTGCAGCAAACCCTGACCCATAAGAGAACAAACCCACCCTCTGCCCTGCCAGTTGAGATGCTGTGTGTCTGTAACACAGAAATCAGAGAGGCTGTTGTGAGAACCATTGTCTGAAGCTTTAGTTCCCTCCATCAATCTAAATGACTTTAAGCATATCCATATACACATTCAACTCATTACTTTTAGTCACACATTAATATGACATATTGTTTAGAATATATGCTTTGTTTTTCATAGCATTGTTGATTTGAGTCAGTCGGGAAGCAGGCACTAAGGCATACATACTGTGCTATTAGTGAAGCCAGACAGCCGTATACAGAGGGTGTGTACATGTTTCCATTCTGACTGGACAGCAGCAGTGACGCCTTGGTCTTGGTCTCAAACAACTGAGCGCTGGCTTTCATGAAGGCCTTCTCCACGTCCCTGTCAAAGTACGTCTCCTCTGCCTTCACGTCTCTGCCAAGCAGACATACAGGTTTAATTCTCCATGTCCAAATGAGTCTACAAGAATTTTTGTTTTGTTTCAGAAAATTCAGTTTTTTGTCAGAATGTTCTTCTTAAAATACTGTATTTGTAGTTTAAAAAAACTAAACAACAGGAAATCCACAACACTAAAGGTGACGCCTGTAAAGAAAAAGAGTTACTTCTAGGATTTCTACACAATAAGTTTTTGAAATATAAAACAACAAAAGTCCATTGTAGAGAGTCTAAGCATGTGTTTCCAACACTGAAGGACATCAGAGTCCATCTGGCCTGGTGCT